CTACCCACCCCCCCTGCTTTCCCCCCATGCATACTACCCCATTCTTTGACTCCATTTACCTTCTGCTTGCAGTTCTACTTCTCTGCTGTAGTCAGCAGCAGTGTGACCCTGGCCTGACCTCACCCAGTCAGTCCAGGGTAAAGCAAGGTCAGGACAAGAACTGGAGCAGAAGGTAAGGGGGATCAGGACCAGATAGATGGGAGGGAGAGCAGGGAGTGGGGGAGGCAGTGAGTGCAGGGAGTGGGGGAGGCAGGCATAGGCATGGTTGGCAAGGTGTAAGAAGGCAGGTAACAGGCCCCTCCCATGGTCTCCCCTACACTCTCCCCTGCCAAACAAGCCATTCGGGCCAAGGCAAGCAGTGGCTCAGCTCAGGCTTGAGTCCTGGGCTTGGGGCTAAAGCCAGAGCTGAGTCACCATCTGGCCTGGACCAGTATTTAAATCCAAGATTGGCTATTTCCCCCCTATGCTGACTGGGAAAGAAAACTCATCTTGGATTTGAGTAAATACAGTATTTAGCTTGCATAAAGCATGCCTAAGAAGCTTGATTACTTTATAATTATGAAGGGCATAACAAAAACTGACCACTTCCCTCTAATTTTGTGACTCCTATAGCACAAGGCTTACTCTTGGTACTATAGAAAGCTAATACTTGGAGGAGGGTTACCCAAGTAAGCTAACATATGCACACTTCTACATAAAAGAATGGAGCTATGCATATCTAGAAGACCAGGTTTGCTGTATGCTCACTCTAAGGAAAATTAATATATTGCTCAGACACTACATATAATTCTTAATCACTCTTCTTTTTAGATATTCTTTAGGCATCTTCAAATCAGGAACTTTTTAAAGGAATTTGCAATTCCATCTATAAGGCTTTGGATGCTGGAACCAGCTGGCTGCTGAGAAAAACTAAGCAGCATTTCCTTACAGACACTAAAGTTGTCTAAACTTTAAAATTACTACTAGTCCTTTATTTATTTACAACTGTTTCCAATGCCATTGACAGATGTTATTTTTGTAGCACTGCATAATGCTTCAGTGCTTAGAGCACTATGGGGTGTGGCTATGAAAGTCGTCACACAAACTTATGTAATTTACAGCACAAACAGGACAAAATATCACTATTCTTATACATGACATTTTACAATTCTGATATAATGAGATGTATATTTCATAGTTGTATGGTTACTGCCAAAACATAGGGGATCAGCATTTTTAAATATGGTGCTAAAAGCCAGACATCTGCTCCATATTCAGATACCTAAAGAAGACATGATTTTCTAAGGTGCCAAGTACTGACGAACTTCAATGAAAGTTGAAACTGTCCATCTCTGAAAATCCAGGCATTTTTTAGGTGCTCAAATATGAATTAATATGCCTACATTGAGGCACCAAATTTGAACATCTAATATGGCCTACTCAAAATGCTGAAGACTTTTTGCAACATTTTAATGCCATTGTTTTAATACCAGTTTTGATCACCTGGCTTAATATATAAAATCAAAGTTATCTCCTTTTTATAGATAACTCAAGCAAATTTAGACAGTCACAAAGGGTCAGATTTCTTAAAGATATTTATATGCCTAAAAATATAAAAGTGCTTACTGGGGTTTTTCCAAAGTGTCTAGGCACTTTGCTCACATTAAACCAATGGAAATTAGGTGCTTAGCTACATTTGAAAATCATAATAACGGGAGGCCCACTGACTGCAGTAGCATTACTTTTGGCACGAGGTACTAATTACTATGAGTAAAGTATCACAATATGGGCTTGAGAAGACTCCTTTCTCCAGTTCTTTAGGGAGTATTTCAGCAAAAACAAGGAAGGTAACACTTCATACTACTGCTCTTATTAAGGTGAAACACAGGAAAAATGCATAAACAAATATAAAACATTCTAACACATTAGAATGCATTATACATCACAAAGAAAAAAAGTGAAACTTTTTCTTTATATGTCATCTTTAAGGGTAACTGAAATGGATGTAATAAGATAGTTTTCTCTCACATACACACTGACCCTAAATAACTGTCATTACAACATCGATGACTTTTATTTTCATCTGTTCAGATAAAACTTTTATCTATATCTCCCATACAGACAAATGAAAGCATTTATTTACCACGCATGATGGATATAAATAAATAAATAAAATATTTATTTATCATGCACAATGGATATGTATATATAATAAAAATAAAAATATTTATTTATAATGAATGATCGGTATGTACATATCCATCAAACATGATAAATAAATATTTTTATTTTTCTGTACAGGAGATAGAAATACACGTTTTATCAGAAAAGATCATGATAAAAGTCATCAATATTGTAATAACAGTTACTTAGGAAAAATGTTTGCAACATAGCTGTTCCTTATGGTTAAAGCATAGTTCCATCCTGACACAATGATACCTAGCATCTCTAAAGCTATAGCATGCTTTTAAACAAGATTTAAACATGATTAGAAACTATTTTATTACAAAATGGAACCATGTTTTAAATACGTTGTTGGACGACCAGGTTGTAATAAGGTCCTCCAACACAGTTGGTTTAAGTCTATTTGGGGTCTCAAAGACAGAACTGTTTTTAAGTGGTAGAGCAATGACTGGGCTTCAATACATTATAAAGCATTAAAAATAAATTATTTATAACTTTTACATTGAAATTGAAAATGCTTTATAATTATGTTTTTATTGCACTGTGGTAGTGAATACAAGTTTTTGAGCTGCTCGTGGTAAGGTTCAAGTGAACACTTCAGTCATGTTATCCAACTTCTGCAATTAGCTTTAGGACATGGTAGTCATTTCAGATCTATAGTAAAATATATATTGGCCACAGAAAAATATATTTTCTGGAACAGCTTCTAATTTTACAAGTGACCATGCCAAACTAGTAGCAATTGTTTACATTTGTATGCATACATCTAATTGTAATTTGTACAAGCAGTCTTGTGAATAGTATGAGACACAGTACAAATATAATGTAACTAGTTAGGGGCTCTAAGTGTAGTACCTCTAAAAATAACATTACAAACTGCTGTTTTTTCAAATAATTAAGATACTCCTTAAAACAGTCACTCATTGTATATGTGTATATGTTCTGGTCAAATAGAAATAAGCATGCTTACCATATCTATGTAACATAATACACCTTTCTTGTGTAACCCTCATGACATTACCACTTTAAATCTGGATCAGTGTATAATCATTGCTACAGATATCACTAATGTGCTGCACATTCTAATTTAAGTAGCAAAAATAACCAACCATCATTGTTTTTTTCTCTTATTTTCACACCCTTCCATTCAAACCTCACTTAGTTTTCACATATCTTTAAACTACAGGCTTTGGGGTCAGGAAATTTTCTTTGTATGGGTGCCACATAGATCACTTCTTACACAGCTCCATGCACATGTAACACTACCTACCACCAATATTAAGATTTACAAAAACTATAGGAAATGGAAGAAACACCTATCCCCTAGGAAGGAACCATACCTTTGGTTCTCTCATTACACAAACAAACCACTCTGGTTAGATCCCTAATTAAGCACTGTAGCTCATGAAAAGTAACCTGTCTCAGTTGCAAGGTATCTGTGCTAGTACCTCTAAAATGCCTATTTTGAGCTAAGGGGCTATTCCAAAAGAAATAACAGATGGATTTGTTCTTTTATTTCTCTGTGAAGAGGTAAGTTGCGTTACTGTATCTAGCAGCCAAAGAGTTAATTAACAAATCCTCTTACCAACTGTCACTTAGAATGAAATGTTCACATAAGGTCTTTAGTGAAGAACAAATCCTAAAGAATTAAAACTTGTTCTCATAACGTATTAGAAATAGAATGGTTTCCCTCCTTTCTTCCCTGCACAGTGAACTTGCACTTACCCTCTGGTTGATGGGTTTCCCCTCTTTCACTTCCACTGCCAAACCCAAGTCAGACAACCTGCAGTGGCCATCATCATCCAGAAGGACATTTTCTGGCTTCATGTCCCTGTACACGATGTTAATGGAGTGAAGATGCAGAATCCCACAGGTGATCTGAGCTGAATAAAAGATGACTCTGCTCATTTCCAAGCCCCTCTCACCAATGTTGTAGATGTGGTATTTAAGATCCCCTCCATTCATGAGACTTATGACTAAACATAGGTGGCTTTTGCTCTCAAAGGCATAGGCAAGGGAGACTATAAAACGACTGTTGACCTTCTCCAAGATTTCCTTCTCTAGCAGAGCCATCTTCTCCCCACTTTTCTTCTTTAACCTCTTCTTATCTAGTTTCTTACAAGCATACATCTTGCCAGTGTTTTTTACTTGGATGGCACACACCTAGAGGAGAAAGATACAAAGTGAAAGTAAGTAGTTTATATGCACACACTGGAGGTGAAACAAGAATGGCAGTGGGTAGGACCTGGAAAAGCATGAAGTGCAAGAGGGCACTGTTTGTGATTCATGTGATGGGCAGCATTAGCAAGGGGATATAAGAAGAATAGGAAATTGGTCCATTTTACTTGGATGGCTCTATGTAGAGTTAATTTTTTCTCTGGAGAGCCTGTTTTATCTAGGTTTGGATAAAATAACACCATGAAAACAGAAATGTGGGTGTATTGGGACAGCCTCCCACTTGCCAAAAATGGAGTTACATCATATTATGGAGTCTAAGGAAGTGATTTTTTTTAAGGCACTGGCCATCTACTTAGTCTATTATAGGCTTCTCCTGGCATTGCCCAAACCCATCTATTGTCTTAGGGAAGAAGGGGAGGGGGTGGGAGTTGCCTTCCAAAGTAGAGTGCCTACCTCTCCAAAGCCGCCTTTGCCCAACACCCGGTATTCATAGAAATACTTTTCATTTACTGGCTGCTTCTCAAAGACTTTCCACTGAAGGAACTTGTCATAGAAACGACTGTTCTGGAATTCCTGAAAGGGCTTGTCCTGGAGGAATGCCTTGCTCTCCTGCTTGGCCAGCTCCACAACATTCTCATAATCCTTTTCAGTGGCTTCCTGGCATTTGCTGGCCAGGTTTGAGCTTATGAAGGCCAGATAGCTGCTGGAGCCAGACTTGAGAAAGTTAGTGAATAGGCTCTCTACAATACTATTCTTGGTGCTGTCTTCCGCCACCTCCCATCTGGACACTTCATCCAGAAAGTTCTTGACTATGACATATTCAGGCACAGTCTCTAAGAACTCCCTGAACATCTTCTTGCCAATGGGCTGCACTTCACAGGTGCTCTCATAATCAGCAGGAATAGACTGCCTGATCTCATGGTTAGCTTTGGGTAGTGAGAGGCTCCTACGTCTCCGCTGAATCTCCTTGGCATCTCCATCGGTGCTCTTCCGGGCCTGCAGGTATGCTGTATTGGCGATCAGGTTATCCAGACCCGC